CTTCCACAAACATGTTGTGAAGATCAGACTTTGATAGACCCTGTTCTTTAAATCAAACAGGGTGCCCCCTCACACCTGATCATCATCCATTGATTGAAAACACCTGACTCTAATTTCCATCCATCCATCCATTATCTTTACCCGCTTCTTCCATTTTGGGTCACGGGGGTCGCTGGTGCCCATGTCCAGCAATCGCTGTGCAAGAGGTGGGGGACACCCTGGACAGGTCTCCAGTCCATCACAGGGACACATAGAGACAAACGAGACAAACATTCACTCTCTCACTCTCACCTAGGGACAGTTTAGAGCAGGGGTCTGCAACCTGCGGCTCTGGAGCCTCAAGTGGCTCTTTGGGCCCTCTGCAGCGGCTCTTTCAAGCTTTGACCAAAACTAAGATAAAACTGAATTTTATTGGTTGTTATACTAAAAGGAAAAAGGGTTGTTTTAACAGTCTTCATGTCTTTTTTTTTTTCAAATATGTGAATAGTAGAACAATACAAAGAGTAAACAATACACACTTTATGCTTTATCTCTTCAAAGTAAGATACTTAATTTATCCACAATTTCTTATCATAGTTCATTGTTTAAAATTGTACAAAATTGTTAAAATCTATATTTTTTTCTTTTCTTTACAACAATTCAGTCTTTTCTTTTGTCTTAAAATGTACGAATTTCAAATGTTAAAAACTATTAGATAGTTTTAGTTTTATAAAGTCACCCCTACTGGCCAGAAAAGCCTCCTCCAACAAATTTACGGTGGTCCACAAGTCCCCAGTTGATGATCACAGTTGTACCAGATTGTTGCGGCTCCAGACACTTAAGGGCATAAATGGCTCTTTTGATTGTGAAGGTCGCAGACCCCTGATGTAGAGTTACCAGTCAGCCTAACGTGCATGTTTTTGGTCTGTGGGAGGAAACCGGAGTATTCGGAGAAAACCCACGCAGCACGGCGAGAACATGCAAACTCCACCCAAAAAGGCCCCCGGACCGAGATTTGAACCGGCAACCTCATTGAGAGGCAGCAGCTCTACCAGTTGTGCCATCGTGCTGCCCACCTGACTGTAACTTCACCTACAAATTAACCGATAATCCTAGAGGGTCACATACTTTTACCATCACAAATACGTAATATTGGATCATTTTCCTCAATAAACGAACAAGTATAATATTTTTGTCTCATTTGTTTAACTGGGTTCTCTTCATCTACTTTTAGGACTTGTGTGAAAATCTGATGTTTTAGGTCATAATGATGCAGAAATATAGAAAACTATAAAGGCGTGACAAACTTTCAAGCACCGCTGTATGTTCTGTGGCAAACGTTGAAAAGTATCGCAAACTGATTTTCTCTGATCCCTGGTGTCATCGACCTTCAGTAATCATTGGCCTCGGGTGTTTCCTTGACTGGATTTTGTTGTTGTTGTTGTTGTTTTTAACGCGTGGCCTGAATTCATAAACAACCATTGTACACTACGACAGTGATTACTCCTTAGAAGCGCTTGGGAATGGATGGGTGCTGGATGTTAAAACTTAAAGGCACAGCATTCCTTGATTTTTGGTTTTACACAAATGGAGTAAAAAGTTGAAGCCTGTTTGGTCAAACCTTGTCTCGATCTTGTGCAGTACTGGGTGATATTGTCCCAGGATCTATCAGTCCTTGAAGAATGGTCACTCATTGATCGGGGGGGGTTACGTTCCAGACACCCCCGCCCCCTGCAATAAGTGAAAATCTGCAAAGTGGAATTGACGTAGATTTCTGAGTTGAAACGACATACCAAAACAGTTCAGTCAACTAATACATTTAAATCAACTAAAGCAAGGCAGCACGGTGGCTCAGTTGGTAGAGCTGCCGCTTCTCAGCGAGCTGGTTGCCCTGGTTCAAATCCCGATCCGGGAACCTTTCTGGGTGGAGTTTGCATGTTCTCTCCGTGCTGTGTGCGTTTTGCCAGGTACTCCAGTTTCCTCCCACAGACCAAAAACATGCATGTTAGGCTGATTGGTAACTCTAAATTGTCCCTAGGTGTGAGTGAGAGAGTGAATGGTTGTTTGTCTCGTTTGTCTCTGTGTCCCTGTGATGGACTGGAGACCTGTTCAGGGTGTCTCCCGCCCCTCGCACAGTGATGACTGGACATGGGCACCAGTGGCACCCCCCCCCCCCCCCCCCGCGTGCAACCCGAAAAGGAAGAAGCGGGTAAAGATGGATGGATAAACTAAAGCAAAAGTTTATTTAACAAGAGTTAATTAACCAAGGTAACTTGATAATGTTTTTTAATAGTTGAGTGAGTAGTAATGCCTTTTTACTCACCAGCAGCTCGGTTCCGGTCCGGCTCAGTTCCAGTTTGGCAGACTAGCCTTGGTCCGGTTCTGGTCTGGTTCTGATGGGCTCTCTGCATCTACTGAGCGCCTAATGGGGTCACTTTGAATACTGTAAGGGCCAAACTTATTCCGATCGGATCAAAACTTTCCCTCCAGCCGAAAGCAACTTTGCCTTTTGGGTAATGTAGTCCTTTATATTGACAATACAGTGTAGGCTTATTGAGAAAAAAAAACTACAAAATGGTGCTTTTTTTTGTTTGTTGTTGTCGTGTACAATCTTACAGTACTGTACTGTACTTTGGACTTTGAAAAACGTCGAAAGAGCGAGTCCGCAAAAGTCAAACAAAGTATCGAGGGACTGCCATGTGCTAAAGATGACACTTAGCTACTGAGTTAATCTTTTATTAGAGTAGTCAAAGTCTGTGTACGTTAAATGGTAAATGGACTGTACTTATATAGCACCTTTCAATCTTATCAAGGTACTCAAAGCTCATTCATACAGCTCTCTACTAAATCTATACAAAGACTAATCAGTGTTTTATATTAGGGATGAACGATATTGGATTTTTGGCCGATATCCGAGATGCCAATATGTTAAAACTTATTTGGCCGATAATTGATACCAATATAGATAATTTTCTTTCCTAGACCTACTTACAGAGACTACAGGACTTTCTCTGCTGTGGAATTAAAACACTACATTATTCTGCAGGTCTTTGTCAGTTTGGCCTGCTACCAAATGCAGATGCCAAAAAAGGGGCTGAAAAGGATGCAACACTTCAACTTTAATGTCAAATTTATTCATGACATTTACTCTCTCTAACACAACGACAACACTTGAACAGTGAAAATTTGTAAATGTTCACAAATCTAAACTCAACCAGTTCACAAGCAACAAGTGAAAATAGCATAAGTAATAGTGCATTAATAGAAATAGCAGACAGTTTCTTAAATTAAAAATCAACTTAAAACAGAAGCCTGAGTTATTTTGGTGGAATGTCCCATATTTAACGTTATCGCTAATATCGTCCGATACCAATACGTGCCGATAATATTGTGCATCCCTACTTCAGATCACATTCATCCACTGATGGGACACGCATCAGAGGCAATGAGGGGTTCAGTGTCTTACCCATGGACACTTCAGCATGTGTGGAATCGAACCCCCAACTCTCCCAGTGGAGGACGACTGCTCTAACCACTCAGCCACAGCCGCCCAGTTAGCTGTGGCAGCCATATTGAATTGGGTTGACTCCAAAAGTTGACAAATTGTAGATGTGCGTCCATTCACGATTTTCTGAGAGTTTTACTAACATCTGTCCAATGGTTGATGATATATTTTGCTAACAGACAGAGTTGACATCAATAGTTAATGCCAACATTCTGGTGTAGCACTCAGTTTGTGCTGGGAATGACTTTCAGCTACTACCACTCCGAAGTTTAGCTCCGTATCTGTAAAACTGGAAATCGTTGCCATTTCTTTTTGCTAAGGTCACTTAGCTGTGGCAGCCATCTTTAACAGAGTTGACTAATTGAATAATTACTAAATGTTGCTATTGTGGTTCGCAGCTATGTTTGTGTCAGGGTTGGCTAAAACAATTTTTAGTTTGCTTAAATTTTCATTTAACACAAAGTAGATGTCTGATGGGACAGTCTCGGCTGAAGCATGACACGTTGATAAATCCCGTTTCATTTCTTGTGTTCCACCTGTTTACCATCAGGTGGCAGCTAATCTCTTAGAAACTAAGCAAACTTTTAGTCACAGATCTTTTTCTTTCAAAGTACAACATTCTCTTTTATTTCATGGGACGTTAAAAATAATTATATTTTCCTTAACTCTGTAATACTGTAAAATGATGTGTATTCAAACTTCCTGTTAAATGTTTTCCATGTAAAAACAACCTGAAATACAGTATAATGAGTGTTTATAATTGTACACTGATTATCTGATATTTTTATATATCCATGAATTATAAAAGCACATTTTTACCTTGTCAGGTCTATTTTATTTTATTTTTTTGCTCTTGGTTGTTAATTTCACCCACTTTAGAAAAGAAAAAGTTGGGCGATAATATTTTTTCAACATACTGTATGTACCAGTATGTGTCTAACTTTTACCAAAACATCTCAAGAACCACTGCACAAGTTTTATTCAGTTCAGCACCAAATCACAAAAGACGTTATCTCAGGGCACTGAACAGACACATTCATATACATAAAAATTCAACTAGTAACATTAAGGTAGGGTTATTAAAGGTTTCAGAAAGTAATTGTGTGTACATCTAAAACTAATTAACTTTTGGCATCAACCTAATCCAAGATGGCTGCCACAGCCAACGGACCAAAAACACAAAAATGTCAATACATTAATTGATTTGACAGATATTGAGCTAAAATGTAGTTGTGGTAGTAGCAGAGAGTCGTTTCTAATTCATACTCCAAATGCTACTCATTGCACAAGCTCTTTGCTTTGTCAACCCTGCCTCTCTGTTAGCAAAATATCTCACAAACTCTACTGATTTTAATGCGATATGCATTGTTTGAAGGAATGCCAGGCCTGCCATCTTTGATACGTGCATGTTCCACTTCACACTCGTCTATATGGGAACCAACATCCATCATTGTCTGTACATTTCAGTCTGTGTGTTCCTGTGATCAGATTTTTTCTTTCTGTTTGTCTCTTTCAGCCATGGAGAGCCTGGTACATTACAGCAACTCGTCCCACGCCCTGTCATTGTTGGGGGTTCTCAATGAGCAGCGGCTGCGGGGCCATATGTGTGATGTGATCCTGGTTGTGGCAGACCAGAAGTACCGGGCCCATAAGAACGTTCTTGCTGCCAGCAGCGAGTATTTCCAGACTCTCTTCACTCAGGTGGACGCCGAGTCACTGAAGGTCGTAAACCTGGACTTCTGTGAGCCAGACGCCTTCGAGATAGTTTTGAACTACATTTACTCCTCCTCACTCTTTGTGGACAAAGGCAGTCTGGCAGCCATTCAAGAGCTGGGCTACAGTCTTGGAATCCCTTTCCTCACAAATATTGTGTCAACAAGGCCAAATGCATCCTACTGTGTGTCCAGAAAAAGGCTTTCATTCTCAGAGGGGGATGAGAACGATGTCCAGACAAGGAGCGTCATTGTGTGTCGCGTCCAGAACAATGCATCCCACCCCGGTTTCTCAAATTATCAAGGAAAAACGTCAGAGAGATCGTCTTCTCCGTCCACTCTAAGGGTTCTACTGCCATCAGAAAACAAATCGAACGAGTTGGTCAGAAACCTCGAATCCAGCAGGAAAACTTCAAAACAGAGTGAAGCTTCTGAGAGGAAGTCCAGCCATCCGTATGCCACCATACTGCAAGGGAACCCATCACACATGTCATCTATCAGGCCCCAGCTAACGTCCTCAGCCTCTTTCAGTGATGCCGAAGTTCATCACATCAGACCACAGTCAGACAAAAAGGAGGAAAACGAGGAGCTGGAATACCACTATCAAAATAAAGTGCCCTTCCAGAGTCAGTCCAGTGAGCTGAGCCAGACCACCGACAGGAGCGGCCCACTAATTAAAAGCCTTCTCCGGAGATCATTATCTATGGACAGCCCCGTTCCAGTTTTCTCACCAACACTGGAGCTGAAGGATCTGCAAAATCGAGAACAGTCCGTGGTTAAAATGGCCTCAAAGACTTCAGGATCCCAAAAATCGGCCCAAAACGGCAACTCCCCACGAGCCTCCCCTTTAGTTCTCAGGTCAAAGTTTCCCAGCAGGTACGATGAAGAAACTCAGGTACAAGGAGACATCAGCGTAAAAGCTGAGCCCAGCAGTCCACTAGCGGACCCCATGGACATTATCCGGATCACAGTCGGAGATGCTTTACCAGTCAATCTGAAAGACTTGCAAACAAATTACTGCCAGGAGTCCAGGGCAGAGTGTAGTCCTGCAGGGAAAAGAAAAGACAGGTCTGACAACCGGAGGTATCCGTTCAAGAAGAGCAAACTATTCAAAGACCTCAACGTGTCCCCTAATGCAAACATGTCTGACTCTGCACCTCAGCATGCCAGCAATGACTCAAATCAGAACAACGGGGAGCCACCGCAGAACAAGATTTTCAAGTGTTGGAACTGTTTAAAGGTTTTCAGGTCCAGCACTGGACTCCATCGACACGTAAATATGTACCACAACCCAGAAAAGCCGTACGCTTGTGAAATCTGCCACAAGCGCTTTCATACCAACTTCAAAGTGTGGACACATTGTCAGACTCAGCATGGTGTGGTCCAAAATCCAGCGTCGTCCTCCAGCTCACCTGTCCTGGATGAGAAATTTCAAAAGAAGTTAATAGATATTGTGCGAGAGCGAGAAATAAAGAAAGCTTTGCTTTGGAAGCTGAAGAGAAACAAGCAGGGTTTGCAGCCTCCTTCACTTGTCAAAAAGAGACTGAGGTCCAATTTCATATGTCCTTATTGTGGGAAGGTCTTTGTCTTCCAGTCTCAGTACAGGCAGCATTTAAGGATACATCCTGCTGAAAAGGCAGAGGAGGACACGGGGAGCCAAAGTGTCCTCTACCAGGAACAGGATGAGCTCATTCATCAGAAGAACACAGAGACGGGTGTTTACTCCTGCAGGCTTTGCAACATCAAGCTGTCATCACTGTTGGAGCAGGGTGACCATGAGAGGGGCTGTCGGCACTCCACTGTCTGTTCGTACTGTGGCCTCCGCTTCTCAGGTCCAATGGTCAAGAAAGACCACGAAACCCATTGTAAGTACAAGAAACTGACCTGTCTGGAATGCATGCGGACCTTCAAATCCTCCTTCAGTATATGGCGCCACCAGGTGGAAGTCCACAACCAAAACATGATGACTGGTAAAAACCAGACCTGCCAGAAGCAACAAGAGAGCAGCGAAGAAGCGCCTGCAATACTCCGAGAGGAGCCTTACAGCGAGGACTCTGCCCTAGGTGGCAGGTTCACCGAAAACATCACTTACAGCGACTCCTCAGGTCCGGCCATATATGACTCTGAAGATTCCTCATCCTATGTGCCTGAGGACCTGAGCATGGGTCGCCATGGTAACCTGGTAGTGAAGGAGGAACCTTTAGAGGAGGCAGTGAGTGAAAGGGACAACACAGAGGCCACCAAAGTGGTACTCGAGGAACCTGGGGTGTGGCCATGTGAAAAATGTGGCAGTCTCTTCAGCTCTCGCAAAGACCTGGAGCGACACCAGGAGCTGCTGTGCCACATCAAACCTTTCATCTGCCACATCTGCAGCAAAGCCTTCAGGACCAACTTCCGCCTTTGGAGCCACTTTCAGTCCCACATGTCAACTGCCAGTGAACCTGGAGCCAAAGAAATCGACAGGCAGCCGTCATCCCAGTCTCCCTCCCCGCCGCTGACCCCTAAATTCTCAGAACGTCCCTCCCCACAGGCCTCGGTGCTCACATCTTCTCAGGCAGCACCCGTAGCAGCGGGGATGGCGGAGGAGTCCAGCAGCCCGGAGCCCTGTGGCTCTTCATCGAGCAAAACAAAAAGGCCTGAGCCAGAACCGGAACCTGAAGCCAGCAGCCGCGGCTCTCTGACCAGGTCAAACAGCACGGAGAGTCCAGGTGGCCCTCACGAGCCCGACACGCTCTTCTACCACGCGCCGTCTCTGTCCGCCCTGACATTTAAAAGGCAGTACATGTGCAAACTCTGCCACAGAACCTTCAAGTCTGCCTTCAGTTTGTGGAGCCACGAGCAGAGTCACAATCACATGTAGGCCTCAGACGGCTGCCGGCGGTGCTCCCCTGCACAGACGACACCTACTTTCACCACGAACACACATCAGCCTACAAAAACAAGACTCTGAATGTACATTTGCTCGCCTTCAGTGGTATATTTTACAGTGGCCATGTTGATTAGAGGTGTACACATGAATGTGCAATCAAGTGCTCGAGTTCATTTAGAAATAATTTCAAAAGTTATTTTTTTTAATCAGTGCTATATCTGTTAAAGCATCTTTTATTTTGTTTTGCATTGACCTCTGTAGGTGTGTGGACACTCCATTTGACTTCTGCTGTACCTTTGAACTGAAACGTGCAGCTAAAGAACTGCTCTTTTAATGTGGAAGTGCTTTAAGGTTTGCAGGCTGCTGTTCAAAAACAAAAAGATGCTTCAGCATTTATATAATTTTGTCTTTTGGCGTGAGTGGCATCCCTTAGGATAATATTGTTGGCCTCAATAATTTACTCAGTATTCACCGTTTACACGCTTGGCTCTGTTGTTGGAAGATGTGGAGCCTTTTTTTGCTTTAGTTTACAGAAGTAAGACTTGAGGTGGTTTAACGTGACCTGTGTGCAACAAGCTTAGAATTCACGTCGCTCTTCACCATTTCATGAGTTGAATTAAAGACTTTTGATTTAATAAAAACTAATTCCAACATTTACAATAGTAGTTTTTCCAGCAAACCCACTATTTTAAAATCCCAATTCCAAAAAAGTTCAGTTGTTTTGTGAAATGTGAATTAAAACGGTGCAATGATTTATAACTCTCCTAACATATTTAATTGATAACAACATCCGTCCATTATCTTCACTTGCCTCTTCCTTTTCGGGTCACGGGGGTCACTGGTGCCCATGTCCAGCAGTCACTCTGAGAGGTGGAGGACACCCTGGACAGGTCTCCAGTCCATCACAGGGACACATCTAACCATTCACTCCCTCACTCACACCTACAGACACTTTGGAGTTAGCAATCAGTCTAACATGCATGTTTTTGGTCTGTGGGAGGAAACTGGAGTACCCGGAGAAAACCCACGCATGCACGGAGAGAACATGCAAACTCCACCCAGAAAGGCCCCTAGCTAGGATTCAATCTGTCAACCTTCTGGCTAAGAGGAGACCGCTCTACAAGAAGATGTGCCATTTTTAGAAGAAAAATAAAAAAAGATAATTTAGTGGCAGCGACAGTTTGATGGTGCTCGCACATGGCATCTTTGCACGATAGAGCTTTAATCAGCATTGGAGAGCTGTGTTTACAGACAGAGATTTGTCAAAAAGTGCCTGAGCCCATGCAGAGATGTCCTGAACAGAGTCGGACCATGCAGTTAATGCAGGGGCCCCTGAGGGCCCCGAAGATCACGACCATCCAATTTAGTCTTTCAGCCGTGTCCGTTGAGCTCAGAGATCTGTGCAAATTGTAGTTGATGGGATTTAAAGAATCTTACTCATATTTCGATGAACATTATTCTGAAGTTGTTCCAACGTTTTTAATCATTTCCAGGCTGCAGAACTTCTGCCCATCTTTACTTCTGAGACGTTCATCTACTCTAAAATGCTCTTTTTATACCAACCTGTTGCCTTTGAGTAAACGCAGCATGCTCCTCCACCGACACAAACTGTTTCTGCTCGTCCAAATTGGATGTGCTGCTGCACTCTCATTTAAAATGCCTCTTCATTAAAAACGGTCCATTTTCCTAGTCTAAACGTACGTTTACTGCGCTTCACTTAAAAAACAGAAGCTGAAAATCATTGCATTCTATGTTTTACTTCACATTTTACATCTAAAACTTATTTGATATTCAGGTTCTAGTTATTAATCGTAAAATTTCACCCAATATATATTCATATATTAAATGGGATTCTGCTGTTTTTATACTCAGGTAATTGGCTCTTCATACAAAAATTCCTGAAATGCATCAACGCAGCCTTTCAGACCACTGGAAGGAGTTTTGCTGTATATGAATGATGATTAGATTACAGCGCCACTACCAGGTAAATATACCGAGTTTATTGCGTAATTATATTTCACATTGCTCTGATGGCCTTAGCAACATTTTCTTTTTCTACATCACATGAAAGCACAAAGGAGTTTTTAACTCACGCGGTGATGTCATGAGGAGAAAATGATGGGAAATAAATATTCTTTAAAAAGCAACAAGTATTCCTGCTTCCTAAAGATTCATTAAAAGATTGTTTGATGGTATTAGTGGTTGTACTTCTGCTTTGGTGTGGTGGATCAGATGTTGTCCTGATTTATTCTAACGAGCTTCAGTCCACACACACCAACACTCTGATCCCACTTAGAGCAACAAATGCTGCATTGTGTTGAAGTTTTCTGCACAAACTCTACTGCTAATAGTGCTCTTAATATCTTGTGCGAAGAATGCTCGGAAGGTTTTTCCAGAAATGATTACTCGTGCACATGGAAGTGTTTGTATTCTCAATTTTGTACCAGTTTTGTTAGTAAATCGAAGTTTGATCTTTTTACTCTTCCTGTGCTTTCACTGCAATAATGAATATTTGTATTGGTTGCATTGTTGTTGCTTTTGAGATTTTTTTTTGTTGAGTTTTCTACAGTTTTGTGCTAAACTTCTGTAATAAAGAGTAATAGTGGAGTATGCATATGAGCTCAGTTGTGGTATTTTAGTTTTTAAAGAGCCGATGTACTTCAATGGGATAAAGTTAAATATTAGGATTTGCTTTAGAGAACGAACCACTTCTCAAAATGACTTTTCTGTCAAAGATCTAACTCAATACTTGCAGCTCCAAATCCTGGGCACATTAAAACTCAGTATGTTTTGTTGCCTTACTGCCTAAAATTCAAATACCGGTAGATTAAAAACAATGGATTCAAATCAAATATTTAAGATTAATACATTTGATCAAAGTTATTTTAATATTTAAATCTGAGAAATGCATTATATTTATTCACCCCTTGTACTTTGAAAGTCTCCAACACCTTCAGAAGCCACATTATTTCCACAGGCGGATTTTATTCATGTCAAATGGTCCCAGTTGGATCCGACAGCTCCCAGTCAGATCCTTAAAAAGTAATGGGTTACCAAGCAGGAGACAGCATGAAGACCAAGGAACTGTCCACAAAGATCAGTGTGGTTATAAAAACAATCCAGAACTCTGAACATCTCACACAACACTGCATGTGTTGTTAGAAGGTCAACCTCCATAACTCTCCAAGCAGGCAGGAAGGACATCAACCAGAAACATCCAGTCGGTTGGTCCACTGTAGGGGTGTAAGTGGGGAAACGGTTTGTGACTCCTCAGACTGATGAAGCCCTTCGGATGAAAGGCAAAATGTCTCATCAACAAAAAGAAACCATCCAGATGACCTGACTGAACATTGTTGGATATAAATTAAAGAGAAACTCAGTGGAGTCTTGTGGGACAGAGACGCCTTCCAGTTGGGAAACTAGCCTAAACCAACTCCACTGGATTCAGAACCAATCAAAAGTCCTGAACTGGTCCGGATCTCAGTCCAACTAAGAACCTCTATGATTAAAAGATTGTTAGACACAAACAGCCCCTACGTAACTTCAAGGAGCTGCAGCAGTTTGGTCATAAAGAACGGACACAAAGTGACTATAGATACTTGAAGAAACATTAAAAAACATTTAGCATCTTTGAAGTTCTGTTGTGTAAACTGAAAGATACAAGCCTCTAAACTTTCCTTTTAATTCCAGGTTTTAAAACAAAGACAATGAACTACACAGAACTCTCAGTAGGTTTGATGCACGCTGGATCAGATGACGCGGTGTTTTCCTGCTGGCAGATGCTTCACCCCAGAATCAGGCGGAGGGAGGCGCCTTAAGCTCCGGACCACCGTGACATTGTCCAACAGAAACCCAGGGAGTGCACGTAGGAAGCGTTTTCTTTAATATGGAAATCCTGTCCTCTTCCACGCATAAGGTCACCTCCACCATGAAAGTGTGTGCAGGGGGGAAGTTTAATGTACGTGAATGAGGAAGTCTGTTTCCCAAACTCAGCTCTGTTCACATGGAAACTCTGATTTTGATCTCACCTGTTCCTGCCGTGGGACAGTGCCAGGACTATAACAACAGACAAAAACCACATTTATTGTCAAAACTGACATTAATTTACAGATAAGCAACATAATGTTAACCAACCAGTTTAGCATTATTTCTATTTAGTGGATGATAAGGACTCTTGGATAAACAAAACATCTTTAAAACAGAGTATACATAATTGAGGAACTAAGATATGGAATCACAGCAGTAATCAGAAAAGTGGGCACACTGACGAACGACGCCTCAGGACAGCAACAAGACCTGCACGGTCTCAGAGGATCCTTACAGTGCCAGAGTGTCTTTTATCAGCCTCCTCATGGTGGTGCTTACAGAAGTGCCCAGTGAGTCGGTGATCTGGTAAGAGATCTTATAAAGGTAGGGCTGGACATCTTTAAGACTGGTGTCAAAAACATTGTCCACTTCAGACTGGGTGGGCATCTTCGGCAGGTATTCGTGACGGTTTATGACCTCAACCACGTTGATCACCTTCTCGCCCAGCTTCTCCCCCACTTTCTCCCTGCAGATCTGTCTCTCCTGCTCATTAGCCAGGTTGACCACGTTAACTTTGATGCTCCACACCTCCCAGGGGATGCACTCGTCCGAGAAGGGCCAGCGGGACTTCTTCTTCTGGTAAAACTCCAGGGAGATCTGCCCCACGCCGTCGTTGCCCGAGTTGCTCAAAGCGTCCTGCGAACCAAAGACAACAAGTCAGGCCGTGGCTCGTTACGGTCACCATGGTAACCACACACCTGACGCCGAACTAACGAGAGGGAGACAGAAACACAAGCTGAAAACTAAGTCTCAAAAAGTCACAGCACAAAAACCCACGTCAGATCGTGAACAACGATGAACCGTGAGCGGCGGAAGACTCCGACTGTGTTTTAAGGAGATTTAATAAATGAAAAGATGCTTACCTTGAGTTTTCTCCTTTGTTACACAAAAGTCCCATAGATTTCAATATGTTTAGACTCGGTCTTTATTTATTTTTGTCTAAATGTACTACCACCAAATGTCAAAACCCATTCTCAATGGAGCTGTATGTTCTGGGTATAACTTGCTTGTTTTATTTCAAAGCTGCACAAAAGACAGGCCAGAGGACTGCCTCTCTTCTTACAGGCCAATGACACGATGAGAGCACCCGTTATTACCTTGAACTCAGACACGGTCTTCCTGATAACCCTGTCCAGCTCCTCTGAGGACACCCTGACGAAGGTGAACTCGATGAAGTCGCAGTCCATGTCCTGGGTGCCCACGGTGCCGATGGAGTAGGTGCCCTCCTTCTTGTAGTGAAACTTGCCCGTGCTGCGGTGCAGTAAAACGGTGTGCAACAGAGCCAGCATCGCTTCCTCCACCTGCCGAGCCTCCACCGTCACCTCGAGAACTTCCGAGCGACAGTTCATGGCCTTATATTTCCATTTACCCACTCCACAAGCTGGGTGACGTCTGCTCACCGAGAAAAGCTCGCACACTACGACGAACCTTTGTCTGTTTACATGAGCGGAGACTGCACAACACCGTTTTCCACTTTAACAGGTCTTTAAACAGCCTAGGTATTTAAAAAGTTTACAATTACCTGAAACTTGTGAGCATTTAAAGCAGATACACGTTACCGAAACACAGCTAGCTAAGTGCTATCGTTAGGTAGCGAACGTCATGATGACAGCAATAACAGGACGACTACGGAAAGCCGCGAAGTTCAAAACACATGTTCGCGCACTTTGCCAAATTGCCGTTGGCATTTGCGAGAACTTAAATTGATCAAATACAGTTTTAAAGTCCAAAATGTATTTGAATCGAATCTACTGAACGTACTTTACAACTCGTTTATATAAATATGCTTCATTTCGAGCGACGACGCAATAAAAAAAAATAAAATAAAATCGCTGCGCGCGTTGCATTGTGGGAGTTCGAGTTTGCGTCACATATCCGTCCTAGAAGGCAACTTTATGCAGTCAGACTGAGCTGAAACCAAACCCCGCGGGATGGACTGAACTCCCTCGACTTCAGGATGTTTTACTGGGACTCTTACTTCACATCTGGACATCGGTCGGTGGAGTACAGGCGCAGACTTTGGAAATAAGGCCGTTTGCGAAACTTTGGACGCTCTCCTGAGCTAATTGGGAGTCGCTCGTTGGGCAGAGATTAGCCCACTAAGCTAACGCGGCGTCTTACATGAAAGCAGCGCCGGGTCTTTGAACCTCCAGTTATCTCTGACAAGTGTCTGAATTATCTGCTACACCGACGCCTCTGCGTGGCTTTGAAAGTCGCCAGTATGAATACTAACTGGCAGGATTTGCACTGGGGGCTTTGATATCAACGCTGTCGATACCTTCATTGATTTCTCCGATCCTGTGATCGATTTGACGTCATCTGCCAAAAGGATGTCCGACTCCCAGAGGTCCAGTTGGTCCAGTTTTGGTTCGGAGGACCCGCAGTGGCTGTGCATGGTGACCCTCTTCCTGGCGTCCCTGGTGACTCTGGCTCTGTACTTCGCCCAGTATTTCCAGTTGGGGCTCGCAGGGAGGAGGCTGGGAGCGGCGGAGGACGATGGAGGAGCAGCGCAGGAGGAGGAGGCAGCAGCTCTGCTCACATGGGCGCTGTCTCTGGGCAGCTGGAGGAGGCAGTGGAGGGAGGCTTGGTGCAAGGCTTTGAATGACGAGGCCAGCAGGAACAGGGTGAGTCCCACCGACACCTGCACACCTGCACCTGCACCGACAACTTCAGGTGACACCAAGAAACAAAGGGTTCATGATCAGCACGATGACGTCATCTGTCTCCCCCCTGCACCACAAATCATAAGGGATTATTTTGCAACAGTGAAGCATCTGAAATTTGAATCCTCTTGCACCACCTCTGAACTGTCCCCCCCATTGTAGTCCTGTTTCTTGGATTTCTCAAGTTAGGAAAACAGATGCTGCCAGTTTACCACAGTACTGTTCCTTAAGGGCCCGCTTCACCGGATCGCTGAGGACATCCCTGACTGTTAATGGAACCACACATTGAAACCCCACTCCTCACACGACATCTCAAAGTTTAAACAAGTCACACAGTGTCGGACCTTTTATATGACGTCTTTTAACCACGTTTACCCGATCGCAGTTTAGGTTTTATGACTTTTTACAGACTTTGTCAAGTCAAAGTCACTTTACTGTCAAAACTGTACAGGACATACACAGGTTTGAAATTACATTACTCTCAGACCCCGGTGCAACAAAACCATTTAATATTAAAACGTTTAATAAACATAAGCATAAAATGAAATAATAAAAGCGTGATACTGGCTTAAATTGTACTATAGCGGGATTTGCCACAGAATGCTCAACTGACAGTTGTCACGCGCTTTTGACATACCTATAATGTCTTGTTTCTTTACAAACAAAACTCCTTTTACTCCATCCGTCTACTATCTTTACCCGCTTCTTCCTTTTTGGGTCGTGGGAGTCGCCGGTGTCCATATCCAGCAATCCCAGCGCGAGGAGCGGGGTCCACCCTGGACAGGTCTCAGTCCATCACAGGACCTCCTTTTATTCATTCATTCAACCTTTATTTCAACAGGTTAGTCCCGTTGAGTCACGAGGACTCGTATACAAGAGAGCCCTGGAAACTTTCACTCTCTCGGCTCTTTAATTCATATACGTATTCTACATCAGACCGTAGGTACTTTTCTCTTCTTGCTCGTGAAGCGTGCCTCTCACCGCTGTAAGACTTGTTTTTCTCAGATGCCCCCCAGAGACTGCACAGCAAAGCTTCCACAGACAAAAAGTTCTCTTCAAAACTGGACTTGAAAGGTCTTTTTAACTTGTCACATTTCCTGAAAAACGCTGTATAAAACCGTTACTTATGTTTTCTGCTGTTCGCGGCTCCACAGTTTTAAAGATTCAACTTGTAGTTTTTGTGCAGTGACTGTTTGAGGCTTATTTTTTCACTCTTTCTACCTGCCTTCCTTTAACTCTGCAGTCAGGGAGTGACGGACACGTTTGTGTGGTTACCATGGTGACCGTAATGCACCACTGGCAGCGATGTTTATTTTCCATCTTTGTTCTCTTCACACTGCTGATACGGTTTATGCATCAGCAGGTAGCTGGGATTATTAAAAAGTTACGTTAGTTTTCTGCAGCAGCTGCGTCGACACCCTTGAACTCACCAATGTCCCCGTCTTCTCGCTCATCAGGGCGCTGTTGTGTTGACGTTTGAGGAGGACGGTCTCGAGGCATCAGAACTCGCTGTCGACACGGTGTCCAGGTTTCAGAAGACGGCCCAGAACAAGGTGAACGGAGGAGCATCTTCTTTCTGTTGTGTGTTGATCTGTTAAAGAAAATGTCGAGCCTCTAAAAAAAAAACATTTGCGATCACGTCTTTGTCTTGTTGCTCTTAAAAGTTTGTTCCTGTCTTTTCAGATATTTTAGATGCATATTTAATATATAATGTTTTTTCTGAAACGTTTAGTTTTTTGTGTTCACGGTGATAAGAAACCTTTTTGGCCCTGGAGTAACCGATGTAACAGTAATGGGGTGTGCTCTGCTCCAGTTAAGGCGTTCTTATTGTTCATCAGCGTGTTCGTTGAAGTCGAACAGTGAACGAAGGGGCTGCTGTAGTTGAGAAACTAACGTCTGCAGCTTGAACACAAACCGGTAATCTGTGATTGTTGTTACCGTTAAAGACTCTGTCACACTTGGCCTCATCGCTTAGATTCTATGTAATTCTGTGACCTCATAGTTTTTAAAAGTTTGTGTCTTGACAACGTGGCGTTTCAAGATTTTCTCAATCAGGAACTCATTTTTAAAATAAACTGCTTAGGGACTTCTAAAGTAACATTTCTGTGTTATCACGGCTGAAACAATAGAAATGCGTTTCTTTCCATATGGCCTGGGCCTGCAGCAGACTCATCGTTGCACGCTTTTCTTGCAAGAACACTTTGCCAATTTAATCACCTTGACATTGTTTTCAGGTCGTCACATGCTCATTATGATCATCAAAATACACCGAGTAAATCCTCCCTTCTTGTTAGGAAACCCCCCAGTGTGCTCTCTTGTAAGTTGCACAGATTATGTGTCAACCTGTTCCTGATATTGTGGAAACCAAACAGCCATTATTTTTCAGGCTGGTCAGACTGGGACAGTATGTTCGCTGTGTTCCTGGCACGCTCAGCTTTGCAGTGCTTCCCTGTGCAAACTCAGCCCTTTCTTTGTGACCGTCATGATGTCGAGCGGCTGGTCTGTTGTTGAGTGTGCAGAGTTTAATGAACAGAAGCCTAGTTTCACCCACACGCTGTGCGTGTGCGTGTGCGTGTGTTTAAGAAGCTTATGTGGTTGTGCAGCTCCGTGCCGAGGAGCAGGCAGGGAGGAATGCACTCGCTCCAACACTAACCAGCTGTAACATTAGTCCAGGTGAGCGGAGTTATCTTGTTACAACAATGAAGTGTTTGGGAAATCCTGCACTTTAGATGTTTCCTCTAAACTTGACACGTTACCAGAACTTCCAGCAAAGCGGTCACATCCCACGCACAACGGCAGCCCCCACATCCAGGGAGCGTTCTGTCAGAGGTGTTTGTGTGGAAGAGCCATGAGCTGCTTGATACCAAACAAGAGTCATAATGTTGTGGCTGAATCGTGTACGTTTAAAACAGCATTTTATTCATAGTGAAGTGTAAAGATAAAAAATAACGAACACCTTACATAAAGGAGATGACTCTTTGAACGACCTCAGTTTGGAAGAATGGACTTTATTCTGCCAGAACTGATGAGCTAACGGCTAGTCTGAACGCAGCCACTACCAAAGAGGATTGCTGCCATCTCAAACATCTCCAATCTAAAATTGTTATAGTGGTCCATTGCTAGGCCTGTCACCATAACACATTTTGCTGGGCGATTAATTGTCTCAGAAATTATTGCGATAAACGATAATATTGTTTGAAATTTGACAATAATTAGTAATTATTGTCAAATTTAAGAAGAAATGTTGGTTAATTGGTTTTGTGTGTAGTACCTTTTTTTTGATCACCAGATGGCAGTATAAAACTGTTTAACAGAAGGATGGATAGTGAGGGAGCGAGCAGAGTCTCTTTAAGAAAAATGGGAGGGAGGCCCCTTGACATGGCCTGTGTCTCCTTCCTGTTCTTTGGTTCTCCAAATGGTGGACGCTCAGTGTGGTTTGAGCTCTTTAACATAGCATTTTTCACACAAAGCTTTTGATAATAATTTTAAAAAATCAGTAAACAAGTTGTCGGCTTGTTTTTGCAGAGAAAAACAACTTTTTAGACGAAGGCACGGGTTTCAGCTGTGAATTTAGGAGCTTGACAAGACGGAGGTTTTTCCCGAGGTCGACCTGTTAGCTCGTAGCTTAGCTACTTTAACGATCCAAAAACGCAATTTGGGATCGTTAAAACAGATTTTTAAGAGAAATGAGAAAGGGAGGGTCAGTGAGGAGCACCGGAGTCGAGTCTTCTGTCATCCAGTGTCTTCAGTAGAAAGAGAGAGACACGAAGAAACGATAAAGCCGATAAATGAAAACGAGGTTGATAATTTTCATTGATCATGCGAATAATTGATTTATTGTTGATCTCGGCAGGCCTAGCCATTGCTTTATGAAACTTTATATCTCTGCTCTGCATTACACAATTATTCACATAGAAATCTGTGATTATTCACTAACAGCAGCAGTGAGGTTTAGCACTTGCAGTGCATTTGGACTCTAAGCTAATGTCATTTAAAGAGATATCTACTAAAGGTTAGATAATAAACATTGATCATTTTTACACTGAACCCTTAAAATATCTGAACTATTTAAGTTTGACTGGTCTAAAACCAAAGCTGATCTAAAAGACCCACTGCATCGACGTCATGATGGGAGCACTTCCTCGTCCTCGAGGGTCACTGTCCTGCATGAGTTGTTTCCCTGCTCTGCAGCAGGTCTTCAAGTCCTACAGAAGCCTGATAATCACTCATTATTCAACACAGGTGGGCCAAAGCAGAGAAACATCTAAAACATTCAGGGCACAGGCCCTGGAGGACCAGGTATGGACGCCTGTATCTTAACCTCCTAGGACCTGGCATCCACATATGCAAGAGTCCGGGTCTTAGGAGTTTAAGGGGAGCAGATAATCTTTATTTAAAGATCCATTCTTTTGGAAATTATGTCCAGAACTTTGTGTGAACTGAAAAGTTTCATGTGTTCTTTAGTACTAATAACTGAAGGTTCTTTCAACCAGGAGTTCACACAGGCAGCTCTGCTCTCGGCCGACAGCAGCTGACGTTTGTTATTCAAGCTGAATTATGCTCCACAAGTGGACACTGTTCATTATGAGACCCTGACTGATGCTTAACACGTCTGAGTCAGTCTGCAAAGGTGTCATTGGTAAGATTAGATATTTATATGCTAAAAATAAGTAAACTAAAAATATGTCTGTATTTTTTTTGAACATATTAATGACCTAAAATGTATTTAAATGTTTTGGGGCTCTTTCTACAACAGTTTTTTTTTTTTAAATATATGTTTATTTTGAAGTAACACAAACATAATTTAATTTGCATAAAATATGATTACTTATTAAATCAAACGTTACTTTGACAAGTGATGTTTGAGTGATCGAGCCAGAAATTACATAAATACAAGGACAAAATTATTGTAACGTTTTATTAAAGAAAGAAAAAAACCATAATGGTCACTGAAATAACTTGAAACTGGGAAGTCATAGAAAGAAAAACAGTTACTAAAAATCAACAGGTGAAAATCAAACTGCTTTGGAGTTTTGATTCATGAGTATTATGAAAAAAAAAAAACCTAATAAAACTGGTCTTCACAAAAAAGATGGGAAAGATTGAAACTGATCTGACCACAGGGACATTTAAAACTAAGGTGTGTCCTGCAGTCAGCACCACAGGTGTCTTCAGTTTTGTGATCAGTCTGCCAATCTAAAGGGTGGAAAGTAGTCACTGTGCTCTAACAAGGTTGAGTCAGGTCCTCTGGATGGTTCTTCTTTGTTGAAACTTTTTGTATTTTATCCAAAAGACTTCTTCAGTCTGAGGAGCAAACTGAGTCTTATAAACAGCACCTTCTCATAGTGGATCAACCAGTTTGATGGTGACAGCCTAAACTAGTTGTTCACATGATAAAGGACCATCAACCTAATGACTGATCGTTAATGCTCTGATGGCTGTTTACTGTTCACAGAGGGCTGAGTGATACTAGCAATCACAGCATTGTAAGAGGGGGACAGTTGAACCCAGAGGCTCCACCCCTGTTTAATGATGGACGGTTTCTTTTCACAAAGATGGCCTCCTTTACTCCTCTCTCAAACCATCGTTCCTCTCTGTCCAGGATGTGAACATCTTCATCCCTGAAAGAGTGACCTCTGGCCTGGAGATGAGTGTAGACCGCAGAGTCCTGGCCTGATGATGTTGATCTTCTGTTCTGGTCCATCTTTTTGGCCAGTGGTTGTTTAGTTTCCCCGATGTAAGACTGATCACCCTCCTGACACTGAACAGCATACACAATATTACCATATTTTCCAGGCTATACGTCACTCCAGTGTATAGGTCGCATCAGTCAAAACATGCATCAGGAAGAGGATAAATATATATATATGTCACTTCAGAGTATATGTTGCAGGACTGGCCAAACTATGAAAAAAGAGGCTTATAGTCTGAAAAATACGGTAGGTGTTTGTGCCGGGGGACTGGATCTTTGGGATGAACCAGTCTTTAATGTATTTTGGGGTTTAAAAGCCACTGGGACGTTATGTTTAGAAAATAAACGTCTCAGTTTCTCTGATACTCCCTCAACATATGGAATGACCACTGGTCTGGGTCTGGGTTCCTCCTTTTCACCTGTTGGCTGACTGGAGTCCTGTTTGGGTTTCTTCTCTGCTTTCAGGAAGGCCCAGTTAGGATATCCATATTGCTCTAGAGCCTGTCTTGTGTGGGATTTGTCCTTCTGCCTGGCTCCTGAGCTAGTGGGGACGCTGTCTGCTCTGTGATACAGAGTCCTGATGACTCCTAACTTGTGCTCCAAAGGGTGATGGGAGTCAAACTGCAAATACTGGTCTGTGTGGGTGGGTTTGCGGTACACCTCAGTTTGCAAATGTCCTCTATCAGAGACTGAGACCTCACAGTCCAAGAAAGCCAACCTGCCATTTTTTACATCTTCTCGTGTGAACTTGATGTATTTATCCACAGAGTTGATGTGGTCAGTAAAATGTTGGACTTCCTGAGATTTGATTTTAACCCAGGTGTCGTCAACATACCTGAACCAATGACTTGGTGGTGTCCCTGAAAAGGACGTCAAGGCTCTCTTTTCTACCTCCTCCATGTACAGGTTGGCAACAATAGGAGAAACTGGAGACCCCATAGCACACCCATGTTTCTGCCTATAATATTGCTCCCCATATGCAGGTTGATGTGACTCCACCTTGTTAGATTTATCTACCTGGATTATTGGGCATGCATCAGGACATAGGCACAGTGCTACTTGGTATCATGATGTGTATCACACTGAACATGGACCACAGAAAGCTAAGGACAGCGTTGTGTCAGGAGTTTAGAAAGAAAGAAAAATTGAGCAGCAACTTAAAGATAGTCTGAGCTCCTGTGACTACAGCTTCATTCAGAAGGTTAATGTCCACAAGGCTGGAGACAATCTCCCTGGACATGGCTACAAGAGGAAAACTGATGATGGATTGAAGAGATGGATAGAATAATCAGGAACCAAAGAGCCCAGCACAACTTTGAAAGAGATTAGAGGTGAACTCTAAGGTCAAGGTTCATCAGGGTCAGGTTGCGTCATTTGAGCCAAGAGTTAGACGACCAAGGACGACACCAAGTCATAAAAAACGAGACTGGAGTTTGTGAACTTTCATATTAAGACACAACACTTCTGTGGGAGTGTTGTTGGGACTGATGAGACAAAATATAAGCTTTTTGACAACAATTCACACCAGCTCTGTGTTCACAGGCCCAACAATGAAGTGTACACAAAAAGAACCCTGTACCAACAGTAAAACATGGAGGAGGCTCAGTTCTGTTCTGGGGCTGCTTTGCTGCATCTGACACTGCATGTTTTTAATCTGTGCAGATTAGAAACAGTCAATGAGATTTACTATCAACATATTCTGCTAGGCAAAGTGCTGTCCAATGTTAAAAGGCTTGGTCTTAGTTTACACACAGCTAAAAACACGCAAGAATGGCTCAAAGCCAAACGTTGGACTATTCTGAATATGTTGAAGTGGTCCTCTGAGCCCTGATGATCTGTGGACGGAGCTGAAACATGCAGTCTGAAGAAGTTACCCTTCAAGCCTGAGACAGCTGGAGCCGTTTGTTCATGAGGAATGGGTCAAAACACCTGTGGACAGGTGCACGAGTCGCAGAAATCACTGCTGTGATTGTTCTGAAAGGTCGTGCAACTAAACATCAAGTATCCTATTTTTGTCAACACCAGTTTATTGTTTTATAAATCTGTTGAACCAAAATTCAAACGCAGCGACTTCAGAGACTGGTTTCATGAGTTTGAGTCGTTCTTTGTTACTTTTGTCAGGCTCAACTGTCCACGTCTGAATTTATTCCCTTACTAAATTAGCTAACAAAAACACAACGATCATATGCAAATAATAATAATTAGTTTAGTCTGGTTTAGTTTTTTTTTAATATGTTTAAAAAAAAAGAAAAGAAATGCAGTATGAGGCATAATGTCAAAACTTTTTGTTTAACACATTCAAGGGAGTTGGTAGAAGTATAAACTTATCAAAATTCCCTCTCAACACTTACATAATCATGCATTTATTACATGTATAATCCATACATATAACAACTAAAACCCATATTTAATATTTAACCCTTCAATATTTAATTTAACTACAGTAGATAAACAATTATTAAAACACAACTAGTATCGATAACAAAAACACCAACAATAATTGAATAATAATCCATCCATCCATCATCTTTTACCCGCTTCTTCCATTTTGGGTCATGGGGGTCGCTGGTTCCCATGTCCAGCAGTCACTGTGCGAGGGGCGGGGGACACCCTGGACACCAGTCCATCACAGGGACACAAAGAGACAAATGAGACAAACAACCATTCACTCTCTCACTCACACCTCGGGACAATTTAGAGTTACCAATCAGCCTAACATGCATGTTTTTGGTCTGTGGGAGGAAACTGGAGAAAACCCACACATGCACGGAGAGAACCTGCAAACTCCACCCAGAAAGGTCCCCGGACCGGGATTTGAACCAGCAACCTCTCTGAGAGTCAGCAGCTCTATCAGTTGTGCCACCGTGCTGCCCTTGATAATATTATATACATTATATCCAGTATATGTTTATATGATGATTTGAACAGTTTTATGTTTGGGCGTTGTCTAAGTTCAGTTTTCAGATTATTCCACACTTTGACTCCACTCACTGATACACAAAAGTTTTTTCTAGTAGTTCTGAATTTACATATTTTAAACTGTGATTCCCCCCTTAACTTATGAATTTGCTCCTTAGTCTTAAACAAGTTTTGAATGATTTCCGTATAATATAATGTTATTATTAATAATAGAGTGCTTTAAACAAGAACATGGTTGTTGTGGAATGGTAAGTTGAGTTTAATGGTTTTTAACATTAAAAGAAGCAGCTAGCAGCACTGAACGCTGTTGATATTTAACCCTCCTGCTGCCCTTGGGTCAGAATGACTCATGAGACCTCAATGTTAAAACTGAGGCCTCTAAGGTAATTTTGACCCCAGGGCAGTAGGAGGTAAAAAAATAGCCAGCAGACAGAGCTGCATAGTTTAACAGTGAGGAGAAAGTTTGAGTCATTCAGTCACAAACACATGGAGAGCAACCAAAGACTGTGCTTGGAGTCAGAAGAACCACTCATGCTGACCTGGCTGTACAGAGAAAACTGGTTATCTGAGCCAGCATCAGGCTGTTGTCCCCCCCCCTCCCCTGTTATTCAGTCATCTGTGACGTTATCAGCCATTTAAGGAGATAACACAGCAGGACAAAAGAAAGTAATTTAGAAGGTAGTGCTGCTCAGTTTAACACAAAATTAACGTTGTTTTCCTCAACTTCTGTATTAAAACTGAACCAGGATTTATTTAATAGGAAAAAAAATGCATGTTCTTAATTTTTATGTTGCTTGATTTGAAATTCTTTGACTTTGTTGTTCTCTCAGGTTGCGAGCTGTCGTGTGGTTGGAGAGCTGCTTCAGTTCTCCGTCAGCGCTGCATCCACAGCTGCTGCAAATCCTTGGAAATACACAGCATGTATATCTCCACTGGAGCTGCAGGTAAATACTTTATACTCCGAAATGATTTGGATCGCTTAAAGCTGGTAAACTTTGCTTTTTTTTAACAAGACGCTGCAGAAAAGAGAGGTGCTTTCTTTAGACGTCATGGTTTAGTTAAAGAGAGTTTATTGGACGTGATGTGCTGCCCAGCGTTGACTCACCGCGGGCTGCAGCATCAGATCCAATGCTCAGAGCATCATTCCGTGCTCGGCAGGTATCCCAAAGAACTCAGTAAATATCCAAGACTTGCTTTGTTGTGGTTTACATTTGTCATATGCTTATCTAAAACTGATGAAACTCAAGTGATAACTCAAACATTTCTGAAGCAAACGTATCAAAATATAGACGTGTGTCAGGTAACTGTGCAGCTACTGCCTGAAAGTCCACCAGACTTCAAGCCTAAAGTGAATATGATGTGGGCAGGGGGAGGCAATGGAATATAATGCACGGCCTAGCATGCCGTAGTCCTGAAAGCCCTGCACTTGACAATAGGTCAAAGACTGGCTGCAGAATACAGCTGAACACCTTACTGGTCAACTGGTTCCAAATACATGAACATTTGTAAAGCATGTCTGATCTGCAGAGCTCCAAAGAGGGTTAGAAGTTAGGGCTGCGCGATGTTGGATTTTTGGCCGATAGGTTAAAACTTATTTGGTTAAAACCAATTCTGATATTTTATATACAATTCAAGGTTCTTTATTTGTCATTCCACCACATGTGGTGGAATGAAATTGTGTGTACACAGTGTCCCAGTTACATCCAATAAAAGTGTTAAAATGTAAAAGAAAAACTCTAATAAAAATACACTAAGCACTAGCAGCATAAAATTAGGGATGGGGCCGATCCGGTATCGGCCTCTGGTACCAGCATAATTTACGTATCACATTTTTCCGATCCAGCCTGCAGAGATTTCCGATCCATGATGTCTGTGTCTGTTGAAACGTCTCATGTGATTCCCTGCCTGCTGCTCTGCACGTTGGCTTCAAACTATGGAATGGATCTCCTGAACGGAGGCGTGTCTCATGAACCCAGAATAATAAGACCTGCCTCATATTTCAGGAAATCCATTTCATAGTTTGCAGCAGCTACAACGTGAGGACTGAGTTAGTAGCACTGTGGCTAACAGCTAACCAACTTTTCATCGAAACATGTCCGCTGTGTGGAAGTATTTTGACTAGAAACACCACAAAACAAGACAGCAACGTGCAATGTCCGCAGAGTCGTAGCGCCACATTAAACCACGGTAAAGTTAGTTTTATGTTGGACATTCGAGCTCCGTGGCTTCAACGCGGCGCTCCTCTTGCTCATTTCAAAACAGGCAGCCCGACCCCGGCCAGCCGCGCCCAATCTGCCCGTCTTGGAGGCAGACTGAGCGCGGCTGACCGAAATCAGACTGCTTGCCTCGGATTGAACGAGAAGGACACACCGCTGAAGCCACGGAGCTCGAATGTTTACAGAGAAGTTGCTAAACTCATCGTAATTAATGACAAACCACTATCAGTTGTAGAAAACAAAGGATTTCACAGCTTCATACTTGCAGCCAAGATATAGTTTACCCTCCAGGAGATATTTACCAGTACAACAGTAGACAATCATAAAAAAACATGAATTGAAAATTACAAGAACATGATATATACAAAAAAAAA